CACCACAGTGCGGCCCCCTCACTCACGGTTTTAGAGGCCCACAGCCCGCGGTTAGTAGCCCCACTGCTCTGGCGTCTGAGGAGAGTGGCGGAAGGCAGAACATTGTGGTGGGAGCATCAGGGTGAGCCAGGAAGCAGAGAGAACTGCTGGTGTAGACTCGGCTTAAATAACCAGCCCTGGGGCCGGTGCTGTGGCACAGTGGGTAAAGCCGCCACCTGCAGTGCCGGCATCCCATATGGGTGCCGGTTCAAGTCCTGGCTGCTCCACTTCCGATCCAGCTCTCCAATATGGCCTGGGAAAGCAGTGGAAGATGGCCTAAGTCCCTGGGGCCCTGCACCCTCATGCAAGACCTGGAGGAGGCTCCTGGCTCCTGGCTTCTGGCTTCAGATCAGCTCAGCTCTGGCCACTGCGGTCATCTGGGGAGTGAAGCAGCAGATGGAAGATTCTCTCTCTCTCTCCCTCTCTCTCTCTATCTCTGTCTCTGTCTCTATCTCTCTCTGTAACTCTTTCAAATAAATAAAATAAAGAGCCACCTGCCAACATGGCCTCCTAGGATACCATCATGGAACCCAGTGTCCACCCTAATCCATTGACAATTAACATTAATCCGTTCACCCCACTTCAGGCACACAGGGTCTTCGGGGACACACAAGTTATTATCCATACTGTAGCAGCTCGTCGTGATGTGGCTCATACATACATACTGGGCTCAGGCGGCTTGTGCGTGGGCCTCAGTTTCTTTGTGAGTAAAAATGGAGACAGCACTTGGGACGGCGTCAGTGACCTGTCACCGGACAGTGCTCCGCAGCAGGCGGGGACCATGCTGACCCCTCTCGATAGCGGATTGCTGGTTGGGAGGACCGAATCGTGTTCTCTCCGCATGGGACTGTAAGTTGGCGACATGGCCTTTAAAGAGGTGATTCTGTTAAAAGGAGGCCACCAGGCGGGCCCCGATCCTGTAAGAAGAGGAAATTTGGCCCCACCGCGAGCTGTAATGGCAGCAGTGTGTCCGTGCTGTGCTGTGAGTGTGGCCCAAATCCAGAAGGAGTTTGTCCCTCCCATGGGTCTCCCTACATTCACGCTCAGCCTACTTTAGAGCTCTTAAGAAAGTCCGCCGGGAACTCATGTCTGAGTCTATCACGTTTCATGTTACCGGGACATAAGTGGATCACCAGCAGAGCTTCTGACGCTCCCTCTCGCATGCTGCCTTCCAGTCTGGGGCCTGAAGAGTGTTATATTCTCGTGTAATTAAGTCCTCACCGCTACGTCACCCCTACTACCACCCCACTGTACAGACGAGGACTCCGAGGACCAGGGGCGCAAGTTGCTAATAGGCAATGGGGCTGCATCTGGGAACCAGCTTCACAAACTACAACGGATGCTCTCCCAGCTGCTGCCTCCTGCCAATGGGGTCCCCCCCACTCCCCCGCCCCGCCTGGCGGGACAGAGATCTGTTGCCCTGGAGACAGACCCAAAAGACAGCACCCAGAAAGAGAAGCTGGGCTTGGACTGCGAAGGGAAATCTTGGTATGTAGTCAAGGAAGACAGATCGCTGGAGGCCAGGCCCTGGGCAGGCCCCGGCTGTGATGGGGTAAGGCACTCAACAGAGGATGGCAAACCCAACAGGGACACGACGGGTGAGCAGGGCAGGGGGTGTGGTCAGCTCTCTGTTTCTTCTGCAAATGTCCCTTTTCTACATTTTTTAAAAGACTTATTTTATTTACTTGAAAGGCAGTTTCAGAGAGAGAAAGAGAGAATCTTCCATGTGCTGGTTCACTCCCCAAATGGATGCAATGGCCAGGGCTAGGCCAAGCTGGACCCAGGAGCCAGGAGCTTCTTCCAGGTCTCCCACTTGGGTGTAGGGGCACAAGCACTTGGGTCGTCTTCTGCTGCTTTCCCAGGCACATTTGCAGGGAGCTGGATTGGAAGCAGAGCAACCAGAACTCAAACCGTCACCCATATGGGATGTCAGCATTGCAGGTAGCAGCTTCACCTGCTACACCACAGCGCTGGCCCCTTTTCTACATTTTTCTCAAAACAGCCAATGTGTTGGCATCAGTGATATGCCAAGGGGGAGGGGTGGCGGCACCTCACTGCTGGCAGGGAGAAGTGCATTGTCTATACAGAATAAATTTTTAGAAACAAATAAAACCATTTGCTCTGGAATAAATATGCCCTCTCCTATCTCCCAATTCTTGTGCTGAAATTCAGACCTTGGGATGGCACTCAGAGATGGGGTATTTGGGAGGTAGTTAGGTTTATTTTGTCATTTTTTAAACCAGTTATGTGTATTTGAAAGGCAGGGAGACAGAGCTTGAGGTTCTAGCCACTGGTTCACTTCCCAAGTGCCTACAGCAGCTGGGACTGGGCCAGGCAGAAGCGGGGGGCCCAGAGCTCAACCCAGATCTCTCCCATGGGAGGCAGGGACACAGCCACTTGATCCATCTCACTTGCTGCCTCCTAGGGTGTGGGTCAGCAGGAAGCTGGAACAGAGGGCAGAGCCAGGACTCGAACCCAGGCCCTCTACTGTGTGAGGCAGGCATCTCAGGTAGTGTCATCTCACCTGTTGCACCCAAGACCCAGCCCAGTGATGAGGCTTAGATGAGATCTTGAAGGCAGAGGTGGTGAGACGCGTGTCCTTGCAGCAGACACCAAGGAGCCTGGCTTCCTCCCTCGCACAGCAAGACGGTAGCCCTCTGCAAGCTGCGGGGAGAGCCCTCCCCAAGGACAGAGTCAGCCTGTGCCTCATCCTTGGACTTCCAGAACTCTGAGAAACAATTGTTCATGGTTAATCCAACCAGTCCACAGTGTGTGGGTACAGCAGCCTGAGCTGACTGAGACACCACGCAGGGCTTGTTATCCCCGGCTCGCACCGGCGATTCGAATCCAAGCCCGTGATAAAGCACTCCTTCCTGCAGCCTAGAGACTCCTGCCTCGCCACTGACGGACAGGCTTCCTGTTAGGACTGTGATAAAAAGAGCGCTGGTGGCATCAGCAGAAGAGCTAGGGCGAGCGGGCTGCATGCGGGCGAGCAAAGCCAGGGGGTGAGTCTCACGGGGATGTGAATCGTGAGTCATCATTTATACAGCCCGAGAACAGGCACGAAGCACTGCTGTGTATTATCTAGGTCTCCAGACCTAGCTACCCAAAGCACAAAGACTTTTCTGGATGTAAATGACACCAAACTTAAGATCATGGCTTTCAGGGCCAGCGCTGTGGCATAGTGGGTTAAGCATCAGATGCCTGTGGCCCTGGCATCTCATGAGCGCCAGTTCAAGTCGCGGCTGCTCCTCTTCTGATCCAGCTCCCAGCTAATGTGCATGGGAAAGCAGTAGAAGATGGCCCAAGTCCTTAGGCCTCTGCACTCATGTGGGAGACCCAGAAGAAGCTCCTGGCTCCTGACTTCGGATCGGCAAAGCTCTGGCCACTGTGGCCATTTGGGGAGTGAACCAGCAAATGGAAGATTCTCTCTCTCTCCCTCTCTCTGGCTGTAACTCTACCTCTCAAATAAATAAATAAAATCCTAAAAAAAAAAAAAAAAAGAGGAGAGATGGGGACAGATCAGAGCACTGAAGGCAAGCAAGAGGCGGTGAGGGTGGGGTCTGCCCCAATGGGAGGGAGGGGCAAAGAGGGGTCTGGGCAGTAGGAAGAAGGGCCCCACCCCCCAGCCCCCAGGGCTGATCTACTGAGGGAGGGTAGCCAGTTCCAGCTGGAGGAGGAGTTTTCCTGGGTAAAAATGGAAGCAGCCAACGATTGCTGTTTATAAAAATAACTACAAAGGCTTGACAACCCGAAGAGAATGCTGAAAAAGTAAATTGAGGGCTGTTGGGACAATGCTCAGTGCTTCTCATCTTCAAAGCATTTCTGAGACATGAGCTCATGTATCCTCCTGCCGTGGCGCTCAGAGGGACAAGGGGAAGAAGGAAGATGGGGGTGGGGGTGGCCAAGGAGGGGCGGGTACAAAGCCTGGGTGACAGCCCCAAAGCGGCCAAGGTCAGCCACGGGAGCCATTATTGCAGGATGCCACTCCGAGGTCTGCTTCTTCCATCTGCCCCACATCCAGCCGTGCAAGGGTGAGGCAGCCACAGGGGGCGGGGCTGGCCGGGCAGGCTGGAGGCTCTTCTGGGTCACTGCCACTGTGTCCCCAGGGGGCTGCTGAGATCCAGGTGATCCGGGAAGGAAAGAGACAGGGGGAGGGCTGGGCTGCCGGTCAGAGGTTGAGCCGGCTAGGGGATCCCTCTGGGGCGTGTGGGACTTAACCATGAAGATGGCACTGGCAAGCCCCAGCCAGGAGTTGGCAAAAGCCAAAACAAGGCAAAAGAGCAGGAATGGAGGGCAGAAGGCATACAGGCGGTGTGGGCCACCCTCCACCCCAGGCTGACACGGTGCCTGATGAATCCCATGAGCCTAGAGCACGGAGGTTCTTACCCCTCTTCCAAAGAGGAAATGGGGTTGGGACTGGGACCCAGCACTCTAGGTGCCTCCTCTGGCAGCCTTCCAGGATTGCCCCCTGCTGTTGGGAAGGAGCACCTGGTTCCTCCGTCCCCAGCAGCCAGAGCGGACTCTTGAGAGCAGTGTCTGGGTGTCGCTCCCCCTCTTCGTGGAGGAACGACACTAAACCCTGCCTAGGCTTCCTATCCGAGTCACGGCACCATTATGTCGCTCCCCCTCTTCATGGAGGAACGACACAGGACCCTGCGTTGTTCTTTCGTCTGCTCGGCCCTTCCCGGGTTTGCTGCTGGTTCTTCCCGGGTTGGCTACCGTCCCTTCCACCTCCGTGGAAGGGCGGTTCCCCCTGGCTACTTTCCCCACTTCCGCGGGGGAGCGGCACACCGCCGGCCGGCTCTCTCGGGGGCTGCACAGGTGTTCCTTCAGATAGATGTTCCCCTTAGATGTTCCTGGTGCATGGTGTCTCTCTCCTCCTTTATAGTCCTCTTCCACCAATCCCAACTCTGCTACCCACACGCCGAGTACGCTGCTCTCCTCCAATCAGGAGCAGGTCCTACAGTTTATTGGTTGAACTGGAGGCAGCCGTGTAGAAGCTGTTTCTCCCTTCTCAGCGCCATATTGTGGGAGAGCAGATGCATAGAATAAGTCTTAATCCGAGTAACTTAGTCTAGTCCGAGTTGCTCCCCACATCTGGGCTGCAATGCCAGCGGCTCACCATCTGTTGTCTTCCTGGGACCCTGGGCTTCCTCCTCCAGGTTCCCCCAGCTTCGTCCACTCTTTTGGGCTTCTGCTTCCCAGGACTTGGCTCACCCCAAGGCTTCAGCAGGCTGACCTCCACCCAGCATAGCCCTTCCCAGGAAGGAGACGCATGGGTCAGGCACACCCATGGGTGCAGGGCAGACTCACTTTCTCTGTACTCAGGTGCATGACCGAGAGGACCTGTGTGAGTCCCAGGTGCTAGGGTGACATCAGGAAGCACCCAGATGGTGTCCCTGCAGGGCCATGAATGACACAAGCAGAAATCAATCAATCCATAAAGTAATCTCCGAGAGTGATCTGTGCATGCAGAAAGTCACACGGGGACATGTGCCGGGTTAGGCAGGGCCACCTCTCCCGGCAGCTGTGTGGACCCTTGCACATCCCACCAGGGACCACTCCGGTCTGCTGAGCTTCCAAGTCCCTCACTGCTCAGCGATGCTGACAGCGGGGTGTCCGCTCCACGGACACGGTACCCAGCAGACCTAAAAGCGCTGCTTCAGTGCCATGATCCCACACGTTCATTGGCCACAGCCTCCGAGGTGGGAGATGATTTCTTTGCTCTCAACAGAAGGCGTATTTGTGTGTGTACATATGCTTGAGGGAAATTTACTGAAAAGATGTGGGTACGAGACCAGCTGGCGGCACTTCCCACGCCAGGATCCTCTCTTAGCAATCTGTCCCCAAGTTCTAGTTTACAGGGCTCCAGGCCCGCGGTCCCAGCCAGGAAGAGACGCGGATGTGAGAAACACATGGTGTGGGGGAGGGGGGGGTCCATCCCACCCTGGAGCTCCTCACGCCCTTTAAGGCCCTGACCCAGGAGAGAGGGAGGGAGTGAAGACCTTCCAGGGAAATGTAAGGATCTGGGATAATTAGTCAAGGCAGAGCAAGACTCTGTGGTTATCAGAGGAAAAGGGGCATAAAATCATTGATGGATCTCCTCAAAGGCTTTCTCCCAGGGCCTTGGTGATTATACCTGCTCAATGGGTACAATTCCTACCACCTTACCATAAGCACCTTTCATTCAAATTACAGAATTTCTGTTGATCTTCAAGGAGGGAAGGCATGGTCGTGCCGCACAGGTGGAGGGGCTGAAGGGAGTTTTGAAACGTGAAATCAGAAACTGAGAGGCTGGGAACATGTCGACTTCTGCCTTAGCCTCTCTCCCCACTTAATTCTCTTTTTTAAAGATTTATTTAATTATTATTTGAAAGGCAGAGTTAAAGAGAGGCAGAAGAACAGAGAGAGAGAGAGAGAGAGAGAGAGAGAGAGAGAGAGAGGTCTTCCATGTGCTGGTTCACTCCCCAGATGGCCATAATGGCTGGAGCTGTGCTGATCCAAAGCCGGGAGCCAGGAGCTTCTTTTGGGTCTTCCATGCAGGTGCAGGGGCCCAAGGACTTGGGCCATCTTCCACTGCTTTCTCAGGCCATAGCAGAGAGCTGGACCAGAAGAGGAGTAGCCGGTACTAGAACTGAGCTATGGGAAGCCGGCATCGCAGGCGGTGGCTTTACCTGCTATGCCATAGTGCTGGCCCCCAGCCATTTAATTCTTTCTTTCCTTTTCCAAAAGTCTCTGAAAGAGTTTAAAAAAAAAATCCAAGGGAGGCCGGCGCCGTGGCTCAATAGGCTAATCCTCCACCTTGCGGCGCCGGCACACCGGGTTCTAGTCCCGGTTGGGGCGCCGGATTCTGTCCCGGTTGCCCCTCTTCCAGGCCAGCTCTCTGCTATGGCCAGGGAGTGCAGTGGAGGATGGCCCAGGTGCTTGGGCCCTGCACCCCATGGGAGACCAGGAAAAGCACCTGGCTCCTGGCTCCTGCCAGGATCAGCGCGGTGCGCCGGCTGCAGCGGCGGCCATTGGAGGGTGAACCAGCGGCAAAGGAAGACCTTTCTCTCTCTGTCTCTCTCTCTCACTGTCCACTCTGCCTGTCAAAAAAAAAAAAAAAAAAATCCAAGGGACAAGAAAAGCTGGCACCCCTTAGCTCAGGGAAAGAAGGGGAATGATAGGGTGTTATAGGCAGAAAACTGCTCGCTGCCCCAAAGTTGTCCCCCTTCTATTGCTAAGAACCTGCGGATGGGTGATGTCGCACCACGGCGAGGAGGGGTAGAGGTTAAAGATGGGACCAAGGTCACTGATCAGCTGACCTTGACATGGGGAGTTGCACAGGCCATGCTCCATGGAGCAAGTGGAAGAGGAAGGCAGAGGCAGAGGCCAAGGTGATGGCCCGTGAGAAGGACCTGACTCAACCCTTGCTGGCTTTAATGGTGGGGGGAGGGGCCTTGAGCCAAGGGACATGAGAACCCCAGCAAGGAAATGGATTCTCCCCTTGAAGTCTCTAGAAGAGCCTTTGATTTTGGCCCAGCGACACCCACGTGGGTGAGGCTCCTAACCTACCTGGCTGGAAGATGATGATACATTAGCACAGTGCAAGCCGCTCCATTTGTGGCTGCTCGTTAGAGTAGGAATAGGACAATGAGTATGTAGGCTAGAGATGAAAGGATTGAAAACGGGACAGAGGAGGCAGGAAGCAGCGAGCTGGAGAAAAAGGCAAGTTAGGTGCACAGCAGGACAGGGGACAAAACTGGGTCTGACCATGGGGCCTCGGGCCTCAAGAACAGAAGGAGGCCTAAGCCATCCTCCCTGGCTGGCCGTTCACACATTCAGGCCACCTACACAGCCTGTGCTGCCCGGTGCAAAATGAAAGGGCATGGCCCCTTGTGTAAAGAAATTCCATGGGCCGGCCCGCCTTGGCTCATTTGGTTAATCCTCTGCCTGCGGCGCCAGTATCCCATATGGGTGCTGGGTTCTGGTCCCGGTTGCTCCTCTTCTAGTCCAGCTCTCTGCTGTGGCCCAGGAGGGCAGTAGGGGATGGCCCAGGTGCTTGGGCCCTGCACCCGCATGGGAGACCAGGAGGAAGCACCTGGCTCCTGGCTTTGGATCGGCGCAGCGCACCAGCCATAGCGGCCATTTGGGGGGTGAACCAGCAGAAGGAAGATCTTTCTCTCTGTCTCTCTCTCTTACTGGCTATAACTCTACCTGTCAAATTAAAGAAAAAAATAAAAGAAATTCCATGACAGTGACAGAGCTCTCCTGAGTAGCAGATCATGACGATGATCTATGGCTGCTCCATCATCTTCAGACACAGGACTGGGTTATTTGGGGGTTTTGACATGGGCCTCCCCGGGGGAAGGGAAGGAGAGGGCGGGTAAGTCTTTTATCTGATCAAAATCAGCCGCTGGGGCCGGCATCGTGCTGCAGGGGTAGGTTAAGTCACTGCTCCCACATGGGAGGGCTGGTTGCTGTGCTCGGGTCCCAGCTGCTCTGCTTCCAACCCAGCTCCCTGCTAATGCACCTAAGGGGAGCAGCCGAGGATGGCCCAAGTGCTTGGACCGCTGCCACCCATGTGAGAAACCCAGAGGGAATTCTGGTCTCCTAGCTTCAGCCTGCCCCAACCCTTGCCGTTTTGGCCATTTGGGGAATGAACCAGCAAATGGAAGATCTTTCTCTCAGTCTCTCCTTCTCTCTATCTCTCTGCACTTCAAAACTAATTAATCAATTAATTTTTTAAAAAAGCCAAAGGCATCAGTCCTACTGTGTAGTTTCCCCCTCACCAATCTTCACCCTGACTTCCAAAGGAGGATGTGCCTGATCCTTGTTAAGAAGGCATACCTGTTTTGTTCCACTTTTCTTATTGCGCTTTGCGGATTTTTTCCTTCCTTACAAATGGAAAGTTTGAGACACCCCTAGGCCAAGCAAGTGTGTTGGCCCCATTTTTCTCGAAAACTCGAATGATTAACACCTTTTAGCAATAAGATGTTTCTTAAGTAAGGTATGTACAGACTTTCTACACACAATGCTTTTGCGCAGCTGG